TGTCAAAGGGACCTGCCAATACCCCCTAACAAGGTCTAACGTAGAAATGTATTTCGCCTTAGACACTGTCTCTACCCTCTCTTCAATGTTAGGAATAGGGTAAGTCTGGTCGACTGTTACAGAGTTCAGGCGGCGATAGTCCACGCATGGCCTTGGATCACGGCCCGGAATCTCAACCAAAATCAAAGGCGAGGTGAAATCACTGTCTGCTTCGATGATAACACCTAGGTCGATCATGCGGCGAATTTCGGCCTCTAGTATCTCTCTCTGTCTAGGTGACACCCGATACGGCTTACAGCTCATCGGCTTGTTAACCGTCAGCTCAATGTCGTGCTTAATCACATCCGTTTTGCCTGGCTTCTCGGAGAAAACGGTAGCGAATTCCTGTACTAAAAGCTCTAAATCTTCCTCTTGAGCCTTACTTAGGGTGTTCCCTGTGTCTACCCTATCGGACAATGTGCTGCTGACCGTGCCATCGGAAAGACAAAGGATTTCCGCGCCCTCATCCTCAGGAACATTGAGTGCAAGGTTTACTACTGCTTTTCGTCGCATGTAGGGTTTCATTAGGTTACTGTGATACACTTTGGGGCATTTCCGGCCCCACTTTACCTCGTAGTTGGTGTCTGAAAGCACTGACAACACTGTCGCTGGTCCCTCCCATTGTACGTCCAGCTTGTTTTTTCTTGAAGGGCACAACAGCATCACCTCATCGCCCACTCTAAAGACTCGCTTTCGAGCTGACTTATCGTAACGGGCCTTGGAAAGCGCCTGTGCTGCGCGCATGTTGCTCTCCACCACTTCGCGTGTAGTCCCCAGTCGCCCCAATAAATCCAGTACATAGGAAACCACATTAGGGTCCTCCCCATATCCAGTCCATGACTCTCGTATTAAGTGCAGCGGACCTCTCAAGTTCCTGCCGTAGACAAGTTCAGCCGGACTAAAACCCGTACTCTCGTGTGGGGCCGACCTCAGAGAAAACATCGCAGCTGGTATACACCCCTCCCAGTCACTTTTATGCTCAAAGCACAAAGCTCGCAAAACGCGTTTCATGACCGAGTGCATGCGTTCCACAGGGTTCGACTGTGGATGGTGAATAGAGCTATGCGCGATTTTTATCCCGCAGCGTTCTAGGAATGTAGTCGTAAGGCAGCTTGTGAACACACTTCCGTTGTCACACTGTATCTCCGAGGGAAAACCCACCCGAGAAAAAATAGACAACAATGCGTCCACCACGCATACTGAACTCAACTCTTTCAGTGCGATTGCCTCCGGGAACTTGGTGGCAACGCACAGCGCGGTCAGGACGTACCGATATCCTGATTTAGATGGAGGCAGAGGCCCCACGATGTCAATCACGAGCCGACGGAAGGGTTCTGTGACTATTGGCACTAGTTTCATTGGTGCCTTCCATTTGTCTGTTGATTTTCCTATCCGCTGACAAGTGTCGCATCCACGGACAAACATCTCTACATCCTTCCAGCACCCGGGCCAGTAGAACTCCTGAGCCAGCTTAGCTTTCGTTTTCTTTATACCTAAGTGGCCCGCCCAGGCGTTGCTGTGGGCCAGGTCGAGAATGTTCCGCCGGTATTTTAGTGGAACTACCACTTGGTTGTAGACCCGCCCTTTAGCGTTCTCATACCTGCGATGCAACACCTCGTTTTGGGTGTAGAACGAAACGTTCTTCCTAGAGTTACCTTCCTTATGTATGGCATCTAGCAGCATAGAGAGTGCGAGATCCGCCTTTTGATCGACCACTAGCGTTGCACGGTCGGTTCTGGCTAGCTGACACCAACTGGTGGACGCGGGTGTTAACACCGAGCCTGTCACCAAGTCCTCGTTTTCGGGCGTTAGAGATATTTCCTCGCTGTTGTCGACCATAGCCCCAGTTTCCGTCTCGACAACTCGCATGGCAGACTCATTTTCCGTCGCAACTACCTCAGGTTTTCCTACACTGCCCTCGGACGTCTGTTCCCCAGAGGGTGAGCTGCTCAGCTGTTGCGTCAGCTCGCGCGCCTTCGAACGGGTAAGGGCCATGCAAGCTATTTCGGTGGTAAATGATTCTCCACGTGTTTTTAACATTTCCTCAGACTTATTTGAAAATAGGTAAGGGAAGTGCTCCGGAAGGTTGGCTGAAATTGCTGCTTCCGTACACAATTGGCCGAAAGGGCCCTCGATTACAACCCTTGCTATCGGTAGGCAGACGCTTTGCTTTTCTGCCACTTGCCGAATCCAGGCACACTCTCCTATATAGTCTTCGGAAGATACGCAACTTGGATGCGCTACATCCATTGTGGCCGCCGAGTCCCTCAATACCCTACACATTCGGCCGTTCACTGAGAGTGTCCTCATGTAAGGCTTCAACAGCTTTAAGCTATCCTCTGACTCCTGAATTGTGGCAAATGCCATGTGCCTCTTACAGCTCCTGGCCATGTGGCCCTTTTCTCCGCAGCTGTAGCAAACAACTGGCTTCCGCGCTTCTAACGCATGCGCTATGTCACCAGGCGCCTTTGAACCTGATGAAGGTGCCGCCTTAGTCCCCTCACTGTCCTTTCCCTGCTGATTGTCTAATAACTTGGAATTTTCGGGTTTCCAGTTATTTCTTGCAAACCTCTTGCGTCCCTGGTTTCCCGACCAGCTTTCTACCTTTTCATTTTTTCCCGAAGTTCGTGGTGTATTGCGGAGACTACGGCGTGAGCAGTAATCTTCGGCGAGTTCTGCTGCCCTGTTCATGTCTACGTCTTTCATCCTATCCTGCACCCAAAGCCTTACCTCCTCGGGAATTCCCCGGTAAAACTGCTCAAGTACCATCAACTCAATGACCTTGTCATGGTTGCCATAGACTTGCGCGCTTTTGAGCCACTCTTCAAAGTTGGCTCTAATTTGGTAGGCATAGTCTGAATGAGATTCGTTGCCCCTCTTAGAGTGCCTGAACCGCAGGCGGAAAGCCTCTGTCGATAGGCGACATTTTCGTAGCAATGCAGCCTTTACCCTGTCATACACCTCGGAGTCCTCTTTATTCATTCTTGCGATAACATCGGACACTTCGCCTGGTAGTACGCATATCAGTTTTTGTGGCCAAGTCTCCCTACTAAACCCTGCATTTTCGCATGCTCGCTCAAAATGCACGAGGTATAATGCAATGTCGTCACCCGCCTTGAAGGTGTGGATTAGATCCTTTATCTTTGATTCTCCACCCCCTGAATTTTGATTTCCCACGGACATACGAAGCTCCAGTTCTTTCAGACGGATTTCATGTTCTTTATCCTCGCGATCCCTCCTTATTTCCTCCTCTCTTTGTTCACGGGCTAAGCGCTCACGCTCCTCTTTCTTTGCCAAAATGGTTTCTCTGGCCTCAATGGCCTCTTCTAAACTCACTTCCTCTTTTCCCAAGTGCTCCAAAATTTGTTGTTTTCTTTTAACCGAGCCGACCGAAATATTCAGCTCCTGACAAATTTCGAGGAGTTCTTGGACCTTAAACTTCTCCATCTTAGATATGCACACCGTTTCTCTTCTAAGGTAATTTGCCCACGAGCCACCCAATTCTTGGTCTGCGAATCAAAATTTACCAAAATCACCCTACCACGTTACCGACCATCTGCGCTAACGAGTCTGGCGAAAAGAAGAGCAAACACGCGGCACTCACCACTTCGATGCAGCCGACGCAGGCGAATCCCATAAGCTGCCAGCCACTGTTGCGCCTTTGGGTAGCGTGGTGCGGACTCGGGCCATCCGAGTCCCCGGAGAGGACGAGTAGAGAAGCCGGAGAAGGAGAAAAAAATGTTTATATACAGTATTTACATGGTAGCGTGGTACAACATGAAAAGAGAATCACACACGAGCGCCTCTGCGCTAGCGTTTTTATACATCGTCCGCCTTCCCAAGATCCCTTGCAAAGAAAATTTATGCGCAGGGTACTCAGAGATTACAGCTGTAAATTGTGTAGTGCGTAGCGTATCTCTAATCAAAGACAAGCTGTCGAGAAACACTGCCTTAAGAACCGGCTGTTTTAGCAAGATACCCTTTCACCGCTATCTTGAGTTTGAAGGAAAGAGAGGCATAAAAGATTGGTAGAGGTTGTTATCACGATAAAAAGGTATGGTTGACTTTGTTTTGCAAATGATAAGCGCACAGCGTTTCACTATACGCCTACGTCTTGTCGCGTGATACTACCGCGGCGAGGCTCTGAGCGAGCGGAGCTGCGATGCCTTTCCGCAGTGGATCACGTGGTCACGTGGTGTGACGTCACGCCTGCCACGCTAGCACGCCAGTAGATCAAGGTCATTGCGACGCGATGAATAACTTCGGAACACAGCGTCGTGGAGTAAAAAAAGTTCACACATGAGGAATGGGTAGCGCCAGCTTTAAAAACGACACCTCTGAGAAACAACGGAAGACTGAAAAGGCACTCCGCTTTTTTGCAATGGGCATCGATATCAAACCAACTAGCCAAAACCTGAACCTTGCCGTAGAAGGGCAGCAAGTTGGACAAGTAGCTTTTCCATTACAGTGCTCACTGTTTCCGCGTGCTATTAGTCGGCAGGTCTAAGGAACGACGAGTACAAACAGCTATTGTGAATAAATAATATTACTTAAAGGTTCAATACCAAAAAATACATAAAATATAATGGAAAGGGGAGAGGTAAGAACTTCACGCTTCACAATTCTTCTTTTCCTTCCTATTATTATTATTATTATTATTATTATTATTATTATTATTATTATTATTATTATTATTATTATTACTTCACATGTTTCTCGTTCTTCACAGTATTATCGCTTGCATCAAATAACAAAACTATGCTCGAAGTTCGAAAAAAAAGGCGTTTTTTTCTAACGTTTCTTCGAACTATGCATGTACCGTCCATTTCCTTTTCTTCCCCTTTTTCCCTTTCGCAGCTAAGCCCAGCCCTTGGACACTGCTCCAAGAACATCAAGCTACATTTTGCACGGCAGGGAGTCACACCTGCGACCTTGAAAGAGGGCAAGGGCGAGAGACTGACCTGAGCGGTGATGTCGTCCTCGTGTGCCACGCCGTTGGTGGTCGGAGTGGCGCTGGACGCGCGGACGGCAGCCGTGGTCTGTCCTGTCGAGAGGTTGATGGCCGCCTCGAGCTCTGCTTCATGGTCCATCATGCGCTCATCTTCCTGCACACACAAGACAGACGGCTACGTCAATGAACCAGTCTATAGAACACGCGTAGAAAGAAAAAACAAGACATACGGCTACGTCAATGAACTAGTCTATAGAACACGCGTAGAAAAAGCAAGACAGACGGCTACATCAATGAACCAGTCTATCGTACACGCGTAGAAAAAACAAGACAGACGGCTACGTCAATGAACCAGTCTATAGAAAACGCGTAGAAAAAACAAGACAGACGGCTACGTCGATGAACCAGTCTATAGAACACGCGTAGAAAAAACAAGACAGACGGCTACGTGAATGTGACCAGTCAATGAAAACGCGTAGAAAAAACAAGACAGGCGGCTACGTCGACGAACCAGTCTATAGAACATGCGTACAGTCTACAACTATAGGCTGCGCGAGAGGGCTCCCAATCGAATAGAAGCCAGACCCATTGTCGAGAAAACGAACACACACGCTTCATTTGGAGGAGGGGAGCAAAATGTGCTTGCGGCTTCGTTCACTTTCCATCGTGTATTCTTTCTTTTTATATAGTTATTTACTTGATGCGGGATCGCAACTAAGAGGATAACCAAAAATTGATAGCGGGAGTAGAGGTGAGTAGTTAACATAGCTTATGCATCGTGAAAGAGCAAAGCACAATCACAGAAGGATGAATCACGCAAACAGGACCACCAACTAAGCCAAATTTCTTCATTGAATAGCTTGCTCTTCAGTACAATGGCCCCCACCTTCCGCTAGCACTAATAACCCACAATTCCTGCGTTGAACAGTTAATATTTGTTCAACAATCACTTATCGGGCTTTCAAGGTGTTAGGTGGTTATCGATAGGGCGTCTGTGGTCGCGAATTCGAGGATGTGTCATAAATGTGTACGTTGATTTTCAATGCTACCCTCACACACACACAAATACACACATGCACACACGCACACGGACGCACGCACAAACACACACAAACAGACGGGCGCACTTTATAGAACTTCAGGTATTTTTTCACAGATGAATGTACTTTGGAAATGTTAGCGCTTTCGTGTAGCGTAGTCTACTCCTTTTTAAAAAAAAAATAACGAATGCGATAGATATCAAAAAGGATATACACAGAATCGCATTAAAATTCAGGTCAGACAGGTGAGTAAAGCCGTAAAAGAGGCCCCGAATCACTTTTTCACGTAAACACTGAATAAATTCACCAACAGGGTTCATTACCTCAAGGATGAATTGCCGCAATTTATTTACTTATTTTTTTAAACCCGTGAAAGTACGGTTTTAAAAGTGAGTGGTTCAAAACTGAGCGGGGTGACGGGGATTCGTCGCAAGCTTTAAGCGAGTTCGTCCTCTTTCCGCTCCGAAGAGTGAGCTGATAACTACAGAGTGGAAAGGGGGGATGAGGCAAAGGGGGCAATAACCTTGAGCGCGCACAATGACCTTGAGCATTTCTTTTGAGCACTTTTTTTCCTTCTTCGAAGGTGTCGCTTCACTTTCAGCACGAGCTCAAGCGTAGTTTATCAATTTAGTATAAATCTAGCACTAGGGGGAGGAATAAACATTGATGACAAATGGGAGTGGGAATGTAGAATCCAGGCAGGACGGGCACGGGGGGGGGGGGGGGGGGTGCGTATTGCGATTCAGGGCGTCACAACTGCAGTAGACCAGTTTGCCAGCCTTGCGTGTATTCGCCAGTTTGTGCCCCTTAATGACCTCTCCCACGCTTCTGGTGAGGGAGACGGCCGCAGTAGTAAAAGACGAGCAGCTGCGTCAGTGTATTAGCTGCGGCGTGGCACAGGCAGTACGACACCACATACTGCGAGGTTGCCTCAACAACCCGCCCTCCGAGGAAATCTAGCCCTACCGAATGCTAGTTTTGTCGTCATAGACGTAGCTTCGTAACGTACTGGTTCACCAACATATTGGATTTCGATGACGAAAAAGCCGCATACCCCAATGCATTACCGTCATTTAATGTTATAACAATGCAACCACAAGGTTATTTATTGGCCTCTGGGCATGAACTACAAAAGAACTTGCAAATTGTGTAGTGATAACATTTACGGCCCATTACCAGCTTTGCCTCTTGCCATGTGATGTACCAATATGGCGGTTGCGGTGACGTCAGTGCAAGCCACCTTGAGAACACGGCGCAAGTGCTAGACGCCCCCCTGTGGCAGCCATAGCATCTATGCAGTGCGCGAATGCTGAAATCAGCCAAAGCCCGTCTCTCTTACCCTATGACGTACCTATTCAATCAGCGAACATGCAGAAAAGACTCAGCAATTCCTGGCTGTCTTTGAAAGAGTAATTGTGAAGTTCCTTACAGCGTGCAATGCTGTAATATTTGGCTCACACGTTCGCAGAAGCCTTGACTACCTATCAGCAGCGTTTTTTCACCATGCACGAAAAGTGTTGCAGGACCCCCTTTAAAACAGAAAATCACATAAGTACGGAGTCCAGTCACGCAACACTAAATTTAGGCACTATGTCCCGCACCACCGACAGAGCTGTAGCTTCTCTAACTACGACACCTTTGACTGTTGAAGAATTATGACGTGGTTCCATAAAGAAAGGGTGTCTTTTCCACTGATTTCGATAACGCCGTACCTCCACTTCAGCAACTACGACACCTTTGACTGTTGAAGAATTATGACGTGGTTCCATAAAGAAAGGGTATCTTTTCCACTGATTTCGATAACGCCGTACCTCCACTTCAGCAACTACGACACCTTTGACTGTTGAAGAATTATGACGTGGTTCCAT